CCCCAAAACCCCAAAACCCCAAAACCCCAAAACCCCTTTTTGGGTATTTTTTATTGAGACGCTTTTTTTACACAAATAAAATTTAATTTTAATTAATGTCAGTTGCAAGAGAATATAAGCTAAGAGAGTTATGCTCGAATCCGATTACTCATTTTCAACAGAGGGCAACTACTCCTGGACCTCAGAGAAGAGGGGAGTTCAAGTCGATGGGTCAGATAAAAGATTTCAAGTAAGAAATCTTTCCTTACTATTAAATTAATAAACTTTATATCTCTGATTTTAGATCAGGAATAAAACAGTTGATAATTCTGATATAGATTCTTATACGAAGCTCAAGCTAATAAAGTGAGGATGACTGATACTTTTAAGTCCTCAGTAATTCCTGAGCAGCAGAGAGATCTTTCATCAACTTTGGTCATTGGAAACCAACAGCCTCGTGAAAAGAATGGCCAAGCTCCTGCAGTAAAATCAGCTAGAAGAGAAAGATGTAAATCAGCAGTTTTTGCTCAGCCATCAGAAGGCTTTGATATCAAGTCAAAGAACTTTGAAGAAATCATGAATGAGGGCCATCAAAGACTTCGAGTCAATCCAACATTCACTTCCTCAGTGATGCCAATGGGAATTTCCAATCTAGCACATCAGAATCATGCTCCATCAGCTGGAGAGAAATGGAAATTACAAAAAGAAGATATCATTCCTGAGAAAATAAATAATGTCAATAGGAAGAAATCAGATATGCATAAAATGTATTTTGGTCTGAAAGATACCCCTTTCCAAAGATATTTTAAAGAACATTATGGAGACAAGCATAAGGCACCATCACGTGGCAATTGTAAGAGTCAGCACAATATTGGCCAAACTGTCGGTTTCAATGCATATTCCAACAAAAAGGATGTCTACAAAGACCTTGATGCTGAGGGAAGAAGGGCTAAGGAACTTGATTCATGTCTGTGGGCAGAAAGTAATGGAAATTACAAATCATTCACTCAAAAAGACATGACTCAAAAAGATAAAACTAATATATCAGCAACTACAGGTTGGCATTGAAAAGAAGCTGCCAGGCGTCATGATAACAAGGATAAGGCAGTGAACAGTAAGAAAATAACACAGGAGAATCTTGCTAGCCAAGTCCTGCCAATGGGTACATACAAGGCTCCTACGATGTACTCTACTTATCAGCAAGAAAGTAAAGATGATAGAAGAAAGCTGTTTGACACCAAGAAATTCCATAAGAAACAAAGAGTGATGGTAACTAATACTAACTGGAATGATACAAAATCTGAAGGCCTCCTAAATAATGGAGGCTATGAGAGGAAGAGCTTCATTAATCTTCTAAATCAGAGTGCTCTTCAGAGAGACCCTGCCAACCATCATCTAACCAAAAGTATTGATTCTGGAATAAATCTCAGTTCGATAAAGAAGCAAGAGAATCTAGCGAGCAATATTGGAATATCAAACTTGTATGAAGAGTTTTTAACAAAGAAGGTAAATGAGAAGCAAAACTCTCCTTCAAAGATAAAAGTTGCTTCTGTTGATCAATACAATCATAAAGAACTCAGACAAAAGAATCTTGAGGGGCAGGAAGATAGATACATGTTCAATGCCCAGAAAGCTGCTCCAGCGAAAAGAACTGACACAAGCGTGCACACTCTTGATATGCATAACATTCCAGCCGGGGTTGACAAGGATAATCTGAAGAGAGCGCTTGGGAACCTTCATGTTGTCTCCCTAGATATAAACACAGATCACCTTAAAAATGTCAGCACTGGCGAAGGAAGAATTTGATTCAGGAGTAACACTGAGAGCGAAAAGGAGAAGATCCAAGAGACTCTCAAAGATATTGGGATATCTACATCAGACTACATATTCAAGAACAAAAATAGAACTTCTAGAATTGGAACTACCCAAGTTAGCGTACTTGACTCTCGGAATGAAATTGATTGCTCAAAAGGTAAAAGAACCATGAAAGTTGAGAATAATGCTGATAAAAAGGACAAATCCACTACTAAAGTCACTGGAAAAGTTGGTGAAAACTTGTTCATAAGACCAAAAGACTACTTAAAGCAGACCAAAAATGACACCAGAACCAAAAGAACCGCCTTTTATGAGAGCTGAGGCGACCTGCTAGGCAACACCAACGGCACATATGCTAAGAATCATCTCGAAAAGGTTAAAAGAAATAGAAAGAATTTAGATAAAAACATGAAAAACATTCAAGTTCAAAACAAACTTATTCACGGTACAGTTTTCTAAGATAATATAGATTGGACTAAAATGCAGAAATATGATAAATATGCCAAGAATAGAGCATTAGGTCAGACCACATCCAGATATGGAACAGTTCATAAATTTTAAATAAGTCGATTTAGTTCTAAATAAAAGGGGTTTTGGGGTTTTGGGGTTTTGGGGTTTTGGGG